GCACGAAGATTAGAACAAAATAACAGACAGGAACATACGAATCGTATGAACTTAAATACACGCTTAGGAATAGAAAAAGTGGACACCGATTAATGGTTTCGAACGAATAAATAAATAAAATTTGCTAAGGCTCAAGTTATCATAAAATCAAGTCCTGAATACCTGTAACTCATGTCATCTTTTTCAATTTATTCGCATTCATTTAACCGGTGTCAAACGTTTTTTTTTTTTATTTGCAGGCTCCTTGAACCCTATCGAATGCATAAAAAGAAGTGCCTATAGGCAATCGTGGAGGTACATAAGATTTGAACACCATATTCTTTGGGACGTACTGGAACCGAGAAAAAAAAAAGAGGATCACCGTGGCATTTCGCGTTAATTAAATCTCTGCTCCATGTCTGAATTTTGAAACTCAGGCCACAAATTTCTATACATAAATCTAGATCGCTAACACTGGGAGTCCAAATGTGTTCAAGGGGATATCCAGTTTACCTCATTTCGGTTTCCTTTTAAAGCCGCAAGAGGGCAAGGTAGTTTGTAATTTGAAGCGTTCAGGCAAAATCGCGGAATTGCAGATGGTCACACGATGACAGGTAAGATTTACTGATTCCACGAATGAAAGAAAAAAAATGCCGCAACAGTGTTGTATTAATATAACCGTGTTTTGTAATTGTAAAAATAAACTTTCAATACCAGAATTCCAACAATTGGGCAAGCCACAGTTAATCGGTTAACCTAACTTCCTAACCTTTTGTGTATCTTGAGATAACAGTGCCAAGACAAATTGCAGAAATAGAAAATCATTGCGAGCAAGAAAGGAATCGCAAATTAATGGGTTACTATTTTTGGCTAATAAGTATCTTCACTTTATATTATGTATCAAGAGTAATAAATTAATTTAAATACAAATTATCAGAATTCTCGCAAATTCTTTTAAATTCTCTAGGGATCTCCAGATTGCGTAACATTCTCGGTTATATTACTCGAAATTAAATTTTCGAGAATTTAGAAAAACCGGCCTGGAGTATTTCAACTGGCTTGTAGCCGGATTCTGTATGCCAATTCCGAAGCTTTCGATATCGTTAATCATGTTTTTTCAATAGGTTAACGATATTGACAGCTGTCAAATTGACGTACAGAATTCTGTCTCTGTGTTTTCCCCGTTCTACCATCGAAGGGCGGGAAGCGCGACTCAACTAGAATATCCCTATAAAATGTACGCATCAACACCCCCAAACGGTAACTGATAGAACCCGAAATGATATAAAGCGGATGGAAGCCATGGTATTAGGTTGTCCCATAAGTTCCTTCCGCAGCGTGTATTCATGTCCTATGAAAAAAAGGGAAGAAACTTATGGGACAACCTAATACATTTTTCTCCAGTCATATAGGAATTGTTAGCGATCTAAGTTTGTGTATAGAAATCTATGACTTAGGCACACACCCTTTCTGCCTGTATCAGGGTGACTGCATGTAAGGATTATGATTAGCCGAAAATCTTCTTAGGTAAATATTTGAATAAGTGCTTGGGATCATAAAATTTTGGAAGGAAGATCGAAATGCTTTAAATAGCAGCTTACGGGGTTATATGCAATTGTCATAGGCGAAATTCAAGAATTTTTTTTCATAACTAAAATATATTTTTAATCGAAAACCTAGCGTGATTTCATAATACAATTATTGAACTTAATATGTAATTTTTTTTTGTTAAGATATATTTAAAACTTGACGAGGTACAGCAATTCTCTGAAAAAGTTTTATTTTTGCGGTGACCACGATATCTCGAAAAGTATTTCACCGATCGGCTTCAGATTTTTAGGGCTTACTCTACACATAGAGGACTGCTGAATGGATTCTTTTTTTTCTATGAAAACTTGCTATATTATTAAAGAAAAACAAAAATGTTATTAGACGAAAAAAGCGATTTTTCAGTCAAGCCACCGTCATTTTCGTAAAAATCGAAATTTCGAAAAAATTCTTCGTTCATTCGGCAGTCCTCCACGTGTAGAGTGGCCCTAAAAATTTGAAGCCGATCGATAAAATACTTTATGAAATACCGTAGTCACCATAAAAAAAAACTTTTTCGGAGAATTGCTGCACCTCGCCAATTTTTGAATATACCTTGACAACAAAAAATGATGTATTAAGTTCAATAATTGTACTATGAAATGACGTTCTGTTTTCGATTAAAAAATGCATTTTAGTTATGAAAAAAAATTCTTGAATTTCGCCTATGTCAACTGCATATAACCCCTTAAGGGATTTAAAAAAAAAAAAAGGTACAGCATAAAAGTCAATGATACGGTTTTAAAATACGATAATTAACGTATGTTCTACGATCTTCTAGTCAGAATACCCGCCTTTCTATACGCGTCTCTCTTCCTCTCATACGTGAGATGGCGTTGGCTAACACGTGCGATATCTCATTTTACTCCCACTTCTGATCTATCAGCCAACTTTTACAGGATCAAACGTCAACATAGAATGAGGGCTTCTATGGAACCTCTGAATTCTTTGTCAGCGACTTTGGAAATATTAATAGAACATGTATCCTAATAAAACCAACATAAAACGTTCATCAAAAACATAATGCCATTTTTATACTTTAAAGTATCCGTTGAAGAACTAACATTTTGTACCACATTTCATAACAACTCACTTAAATGTGTACGTCTTACCTTTCAAACCATGTTACTTATCTAATTTTTTTAGTTTAAGCAGAAAGAAAATTTCACTTCCTGGGAATCGTTTTGTAATAAGACCTCGGAAATCAATGAAAATGATTTAATTGTTTACATAGTATCGCGTAACGCGATATGCTCAATGGAACCATGAAAGACCAAACTCATATTTTCAAGGCATGTTGAATTTAAATTCTCCATAAATATGTACAAAAAATAAGCAGAACCCTTTGAGTCATTTTAAGTACAAATTTACTGGATCTAAATTTCATACTATAATTAAATTCTAATAGATTGGAATATTTTTGGAATAATTTAATTGGTTTATTATGAGTTTTTATGCCGTATTATATAAACCGAAATAGGTACGATTTGTGAAAAACGGTACACAAGCTATATGAAATATTCATCAGTCGAACGTTTTGCAACATAACGGGACCTTGCACACAACCTCGGCGGATGTACCTTTTGCTTATATATCATTCATTACATGTCGTGGCGCGCGTAGTGCCGCTAAAAAAAATTGCGAAAAATTGTTACGTACACTAGCGGGCATGAATGCATTCTCCACGGATATGGTGCCGTCAGTTTATGATGGGAAGGCATTCATTTCCACCACTGTACATATTCACATACGTATACTTTCTTTAAAATAAATTTTAGGTAAGAGAGAATCAGAATTATAAGAGGAAGTCTTTACGAAGGTTGCGAGAAATACTGATGAAGATGAATACATCGGAACGTCCTGCAGATGAGAGAGAAGGGTGTTCTGTTTCACTCGTGCAAATGCTTCTACATCTCCCTTTCTCTCTCACTCACTTTCTCTCTGTGCACATACGAAGGTAATATATGCTTAACGAATAGGCTCGCGAATGTACATCTGTACATGCGCACGTGTGCGAGAGTGTACCTAAAATACTATTTAACCATATCATTGTAATCGAATATTCATACATGATAGTTTTATGCTCATTGTTACTGGAATTCCATTAGCTACAATTGCTCAACATATTATTGTCCATCGACTAATCTGCCTTTATATTTCAGTTTGCTTAAAGAGTTCTGATCCCTGGCTTCGAACTATATACGATCTAAAGCCATAGCAGAGATAATTATTATTACACTAGTATTCGCTGGTGTGCAAGGAGATTGGCGGTGAATAGGATCTAAGAGGTACGAGTTTGACGGATGCTTAAAAAGCACGCTTTAGGAAATCCTGAAAATTTTAATATAAATTTCTAGTACGCCTTTTTATACCGAACAGAAACAGTATAACTAGCTCGTAATCGAATATCGATGTCGGTGACAAAGTTCAGATACAAAAGATGATCTCGGATTACTTATGAGCATTTTGCTGTTCAGAATTACTACGTTTTGCCACCGATTTTAAATGTTAATATCTTGTGCATACGATGTCGAAGATGCTGGGAAGCATAAATAGCTTTTGAGTAATTTATATAATGCAAGCATGGTTTATCCGTCTTTTTGTAACCGTCTGGTACGTACCTAAAGTTGACCTTTCTTCGACGATGGATGTAACAAACAGGGGGAGATGGGCAGGACAGAAAAGAGCTTTAAAACGTCCTAGGATGTACCCATTTTTCGCACTTCGCGCATGCCAAAAAAGACGCGTATCCCATGTTTTTGTTATACAATGTATCGTGTTTACCACGGAGTCAAAAGTCTTTTATGTCCCGCGTGTTTGCAATACTCGTCTCAGGCTCGTGCGCCCGCGACCTTATGACACGTTTTGCAAAGTTACGTCAGGGCGGAAGAAGACTCATTTGCTCCCTTGGTACACAATGTATCGTTATGGGGTACAAGTAGGTGATTAACGCACAGTTCCCTTTGGTTTCAAATAATTCGTAGCTGAATGTTCTTACTTCTTGATTTTACGGCAAAGATGATTCAGATATCTGGTGGAAAAATTCCAATGAAATTTCGATCAAATACTATCTCGTTTACTTATAAAAGGATTTTTTTAAATCTTCATTGAAAATAAGAAAATATTTATCAGTAACAACTATATGGGAAACTATTGACCAAACCTTTAAACCATAACCTACAAACATTCATTGCAAACTCATTTCTGAATTATTCTAGCAACTTTAACGTAACATTTGCAAACATAAGAAGAAATTTCAAAAACTAGAATGATCAAAGCAGCTTTAATATCCCCGAGAACTATGAACAATTAAACGTATCCCAGCTTTTCTAGAAAACCCTTTTAAATCTTTGTTGATTCTTCGGGTAATGACGTGCAAATTTAAACAAATCGTATCGTTTTCAGCGAAATCATTAAATTATGAGAAATGAGTATTCCTGTAAAACATCAATACTTATCAATTTATTGCTCAATTTCCTTGAAAATTAGTTATAATTGTTGTTAAGATTTTCTTTTGAAAATAATGCATATAACGTAATAAAACATTTGTTTAAAAACTCATGAAATTATAATAATTATATCATGTACTTATAATTGTTTGTATTGTATTTTAGGGTCCTGTGACATCTCTATTTTTACTCAATGTTTTAGTCAGGATTACTAATAGTTTTATTGAAATTTTCTGGCTATTTTTCCACCTGCCTGTATGTTCCATTTCTATTCTTTCTATTTCCACCTGCTATGTATTGTATTTTAGAGTCTTGTGTCATATCTGTTTTTACTCAATATTTTAGTTAGGATTACTAATCATTTTATTGAAATTTTCAGGATATTTTTCCAACCTACCTAAGTAATCGTTTATCCATCGGCATTGTCATCGTAAAAGAATTTCTCAAAATTTAGATCATGCGCATCGGCGAGGAAGGATATGCCAAAGTCACAGGATGAGGGTCTATAAAGACTACTGCACTTCCCCCGTTTTCTAAGTTCGATGGCAAGAGACACCCTCTTGTTCCTATTCAGCCCTCGAACTCTGCTGCGGTATTATGGTTCTCGGTCGTTTCTCGACGACATCGATATCCTAGGGATAGCCACTCTACGACTCGCTATTATTTCTCCTTTTCGTTTACGGACAGAAGAAAAAAGTCTATCCTTAGAGACAGAAATGATACCCAGTCCAGACCGTTTTTAAAGCTTCTTAGTTTACCTGGAGGATGCTTAATTGACGTTTATCATTCGCGTTGGAGAAAGTGTTCCAGAAGTCTTCATAGAAGATTCTACCGAAACGTTGTGCTCGATTACTTTCTATCCCGCGTTTCATCCAGTGCTCTTAGTTGTCTCATTGAAACTCACAAGACATGCTCTATTCAACCTAAGGACTGTACCTTCGGTAACGTCAGCATCCTTAGGATTTTCGCAGGAGGTAGCTCGTGTGCACCGATGGGTGAATGAATGCAGAACTTACAAAATTACAATGTTTAAAGCCTTTCTGCCTGCTTCCCTGATTTCTCCTGCCTGCTGAGTTCAATGGCAAGAGCCAGATCGGCATCCTCCTGTTCTTTAAGCCTACAACGTTCTTCTTCCGCTTTTAAGCTCTGTTGCGAAGCCCAGGCTAACTGTTGTTCTTCGGTAAGACTAACACCTTGAGGATTTCCATTCCATGACTTATCGCTGTTTCTTCTGTTCTTTTTATCGGAAAATGAAAGTTTATCCTTAAAACCATGGGCGATGTCTAGTCCGGATTTTCTTCCAGGTCTCTCAGTTTTGCTAGAAAACGCCTGGTCGATATCTATCGTTTTAGACTTAACGTTCGAGAAATTGTTCGAGAAATCCACGTCGAAAGGCTTGACGTTTCTGTTGGAGTCTTGAAAGGCCTTGCTGAAGTCAGCCTCCAGTTTGAGTTGGTTTTTTTCGGATTTAGGCTTATTCGGAGGAAAGGTACTGATGAAGTCCGAGTCAAAGTCTTTGGCAAAGTTGGCGGTCTTCTCAAAGGGCCCGGTCGTCTCGAAGCCGAAAGGGTCCAGCTTACCGGGCGTGGAGTCGTTGCTGCTTTTGTTGGCGTTGATGTCTTCGGTCTCGTCAGCGAAGGGATCCGCTATGGCGAAGGGATCCTCGTAGCGATAGTCTCTGAAGGGGTCTTCCGTAAAATCAGGCAACCTAGCAGACGTAAGCGCGGATGCAGATGCTGATGCAGATGCAGTTACTGGTGCAGTTGTTCGTGGTCTGCTCACCGGCCTTGGCGGGGCCATTCGGCTGGGAATGGGCTCCGGCTGAAGCAGGTTTGTCACGGGTCAGTTTTATCGCTTACTGAAAAGTCAGACATAGTACGGATACCGCTGGTTAGTCCGATCCCTGGAGCTGCTCTGGATACGCTACGATACGAGTATGGATGCTTTGCTATGAGGACAATGGATAAGCGGTGTCAACAGCGATGACGTGCTCTTATACGACGACAAAGGAACTGGCTGGTCGGTAGTGTTTCTTATTTGATTAGCCCTTACTTAGACTTTGATAATGGGATTTATTTCATTAGAAAATCATTTTAATCACTTGCCAGACACCTCCTAAGTCGTTGAGACGAAAACACATTAAAAATCGAAAAATAATATACTTCACGAAGTAAACAAAATCAAGACCGTCCACGGCATGCTCCAAGACTCAGGTCAGCAGACAAATTGAAAATTGAACGGCATCTACCTAAATGTAAAGGATAATAATTAATTTAATATAGCACAGCGAATAAAGAAGAGGACAACCTTAAGACAGCCGGTAACATTGAAACTTAAGATTTCAATGGCAAATTTAATAACATTGAGCAATATTATCAACTAAAATCTGCATATGGCAAGAATGCTATATTACATAAAGAATTATGTAATTTCAATGTTTCGAGCACCACATCGGTAGTTAAGAAGGAATGGTACATAATTTTCGATGGGTGCGTTTTCACACCCAAAAATGTTTATACGGAATGCACTATGAAAAACTTCAATGGATGAAATAAATTATTCACAGCTTTCCAAAAATGTAATTTTTCCTGCGGAGTCAAATTTTTAAATTATTCATCGGTAGTTAAGAAGGAATGGTACATAATTTTCGATGGGTGCGTTTTCACACCCAAAAATGTTTATACGGAATGCACTATGAAAAACTTCAATATTTAAGTGGATGAAATCACAACCTTCCGAAAATATAACATTCCCTGCGGAGCCAAATTTTTAAATTATTTGTCAGAAAAAATATAAATAATGAGTAAAAATCCGTACGACAGCCCACAAATTTGTCATGGTGGCCTTTCATGACCTGTGTCATCACTCGTTTAACACTTGTGGCACTGTTACCCAGAATCACCAATGAAAATAAAAAAAGCCACACATGCAAAGTAGTACACTTGTCAATTTCACCCTCTATCACTAAAAGTTTCTGTTGAATAGCCATACTCGACATTTTTGGGTGCGAGCGTGCGAAGCTGTCAAGGAGATTTCCCAAGGATCCTATACTACAGTTCGACCCGTATACTCACCATAGTCGAAGCCCCCCCCCCATCGTGACGTCACCACAGACCCGCCCCAATACATTTAACATCACGGAGTGACATTTCACTCAATTTTCATAGATCGTTTCGACAGTTTTTAGATCATTTCCAGGAAAACATAAATATTGTAGTCTATTTTACGATCACGGGTACATTAAATTCAGGTCATATTGATTTAAAGATATATTATTCGGTGTAATATGGTTCTTTCTATTTCCACCTGCTTTGTATTGTATTTTAGGGTCCTGTGACATCTCTNGATTTATTATCGACTAAAGAAAAGTAGACAGTTAATTGAAAAATTAATTAACAGTTTAAAAAGCAGAAGACACTGTTTTATTAATTGTATTTCGCATGATAATTAATTATTCAAATAATTGCCGATCACATTTCAATCAATACTCAGTAATTTCAATGTAATTATTTTCTCGTAAAAAATTCAAAACGGAATCATTTCCTATTAGAATTTAGCAAATTACCTCGCAAGATCTGATAATCTGCAAATTAGTTGTTGTCTGTACATTAACATCCCAACTTATTTACTTTTCCATTTTTATAAAATAAAAAATTATTCCGAATGTGTGTTTTTGTTTCTGACTTCTAGTCACGCCCTGGAAATTTCCAACAGATTAAACCGACTCTAACCATAGTTTAATTTACTCATAACTATAAGATAGATTACATAATTAATGGTTTCCTGTAAATTACTTTCAAAATGTCAAAAAGATTGACGAAAATTTAATAACACGTAGTTCTGTAATGTTAAACGTATTGACTGGTCTGCAGTCTGCTTCCACGGCACGGCACAGCAACGGCGTTTACGTCACGAGTGTTGCTACTGCTTACCGTTGCGTGGCAGCATGGTCAACTTAGGGTTTTTTGAGTAGTACCATTCCCCCTTAATACTAGCCAATTATATCGATTTGAAATAAGAATGATATAACGTATTAAAAATTACTGGACATGGAAAAACGGATAGGGGTAGAAGATCACGTGAGAATACTAGAAATCAAAATGTGACATTTAAGGAGATCCAAGGGAATCTTAAAATGTTTGATAGGGCAGCCACTGAAACTTCATAACAATATGTTGTCTGATTATCTTATTGATAGAAATAATTTGAAATGTTCTGACCGTGCATACATTTTCGATATTAGTGAAAATACTCAATTTGAGATCATTTTTAGACATGTTTGAACTTGTTGATGTGTAATTACCCTATCCAACATTGGAAAGAATTTGAAATTAAGGGGCCTTGATGCTGACCAGACCGGTAACGCCAATATCTAATTTATTGGCATAAATTTACAATATACTTAAAATTTAAACGATAAATAATTGAAACATGCTAATCAAATTACGAGACCAAAATTGGAAGATCTAGAGGGCAACACTTTATTTTTTATTTTCCTTATGCATTTTTTTTAGACTTTATCATTATATTCCACTTGCTCCTAATTTGTTGTACTTTTCATCACTTTGGGAGTCGTACCCCCACAGCAACAAAACGGAAACTCATTAAAATAAAAATCAAATCTGGATATGATGTACTCTAAAAATGAAGTACATTCAAAAATTCATAACATAGTCGATATAGTTGACATAACGTTTCAGACTATTTTATTTCACCACAATTTCGTGTGCAAACATCTCCAATCGACGCTGGTCAACGAAGCTATTCTTATTTCGAGACATGAACTGTTATTTTATTACTGATCTATATACTAACTGGATAGTTGATATCCTACAAAATGACGTGACGTTTTAAAGTGACCACAGCCCTCTGGTTATGGGTACGTCAACTAATATTGTAGTTTTTACGTATGCGTCAAAACAACGCGACATTCCACTGCAAATAGTATAAGAGGTGTCAAATTAATTTACTGGAAGAAAATAATTGTCATTTTTACTAATATACTTACGAGAAAAAGGATAACCGTTTTGTTTTAGTCGAAAATTTCTTACAATATGCTCAACGCACCATTTTACTCATAAATTATGTCTCTTGTTCTTTATACCTTAATCGTGAAAGAAATATTCACAAAGGGACAAAGGCAAAGTGATCGGAGGTCCATGGCCGACCCTATTACAGGGATCACGGGCGAGAAGACGTGAGCATTGTTTAGAAGACATGATCATTGCCTAAACAACTGATACGGCTAAACTAAGATTGTGGATCTTATTTTCGGCGTTTGAGTACTGTCGATCATATGAACCCCCCTGCCCAGTTACCCCTTGCGACCCGAATCTCGAGTTCATACAATCAATTTTCGCATTCGATTTTTAAATGTTGACCAATGACGCGACTTCGCAACAAAGTAAAATTTGTCATGCGAAAAAAATTCGTATGAATTCGAGAATTGGGTCTTATGGCTCATGCCAACGTGCACGTAATTTGCGATACTTCTTGCTAGAGCAACTTGCATTTGCGGGTACACTATCAATAAATTTGCAGCAAATTTCTTGCCGCAAATCACTCTAGCAAAGACTTGCAGGATGGTTAGCTAGAGTAATTTGCTGTGAAGTTTATGCCGAGTCACAAACTTGCTACAATTTTACTTGAGCGTGAGATATTCAGTATTGAAAATGTTGTACAACGAAATAGTAGTTGCTGCTATAAGTACAATCAAAAGAAGAATAAACCTAAGAGATCATAAATAAAATATGAAAAATATGGATTAGAAAATGGCGTAGGAGAAAGAGTAGTTCAGGCGCTCACGAAATGTTACTCGGTAAATTAAGAATGGGAGATCCGGTACAATTAACACTTTTTCTTCGAATTTTACTTAGGTCACTTTATTTTTCTAGCGTAGGTGGCGGTAGTATTACTGTACAACATTAATGCGAGGAGGTGTCATCCCCTTATTCCAAAACACATACGAATCCGCCCGTCACTTGCATAAAAAATTTCGAGATTGATTCGAAATCAACTTGTACAACTTCAACTTCCGTACGCAGGCGTATACACGAGATGACTTATGAACTTGAAGCGCTTGCCGGAGAATCCAAGTTCTTGTGCAAGTTCACTTCCAAAACCGTGTACACTATGGCAGGAATTATCTGAGAGCAGCTCATGCAAGTTTTACTTGCACGTGGACACGAACCATTGGGATTATGTCATTTCAAAACGACTCGAGCTTTGCTCGATCTCTGCTCGGAGTTCATTTATTATTGTGACCTCTCTGCTCCGTCCCCCCTTGGCCTATATCGTTTCGAAAACGTAGATTTTCGAGACCGTAAACGCTGTACTATGCAATCAGATCCCTCAATTAAAGTAGTTGCTAAAATAATGAAGCAAAATTTCTTTGCGACGGTACGGAAAATTAGATTCATGCAATGATTAGGTAAGACCAAAACAGTGAAACGCTAATAGAACAATCATGTCATAAGGACGTAGTTATCGCGTGAAATAGGATCAGATGGTAGCCTAGTGGGGCAAGGTCTCAAAACGTTAGAGCGTAAGTTCGATCCCCGCTTGATACAGTTTTTTTTTTAATTTTTAATACATATGACATGAAAATGCATACCGAAATGCACGTAGAAATACTATTTAATACAAAATTAAGGAACAACTCTGACAGCCAAAGTTAAAAATCTTTAACACAAAATTACTCGCGAACAACAGGAAGGGGGCACACGATTGTATTAATTATGCTATGTTATATTTAAAGTTACACGTTATTAGAATGACATTTTTATACGGTACAACGAACATCATCCTAATTATGCCGAATT